AATTTTTTAAAAAAGTAATTCCATTATTGTGAGATACATCTAGAAATATTTTGATTTCTGTTCTCAAGATCTTATGATCTCTTGTATGATATGAAGTGAAGATGTGAAATGAAGAATTAGGCAGTCGGAATAAAAGAATAACAGAGTTGGAAGGGATCATTGAGGTTTTCTAGTCCAACCTCCTGCTCAGGCAGAAAACCATATAACAGGTCAGACAAATGCCTGTCCAATCTCTTCTTAAAAACTTAGAGTATTGGAGCACCCACGACTTCTGGAGGCAAGAGTCTGTAGGGGGTGTGCATAAGTGCACCAACGTGCCTACTGTCCCTGTCCTATTGTTTCTTTTTTTCTTATTCGTATCCATTTCATGTATCCATAACCATGTTTATACTTATACCTGTTATCTAATAATTGCTTGACAAAATAAAATAAATAATAAAATATAAGATGTTTCACTGGTTAATTGTTCTTACTGTAGGGACATTTCTCCTTAGTTCCAGGTTGGTTCTCTCCTTGATTAGTTTCCATCCATTGTTTCTTGTCCTGCCTTCAGGAGCTTTGGAGAATAGTTTGACCCTCTCTTCTTTGTGTCAGCCCCCCCCCCCGATATTGGAACACTGCAATGAATTGTATGTATTTGTATCTCCAGGTAGGAGCAGTTAGACTCTTTCATTTCCACATCTTTTTATAACATTGCATCTTCAGTGAATGTTCTGCCTTTATTCCCTAGAGTTAATAAACATTATTTTAAAATATGGTTGATTTAGGAGAAAGGCAATTAAAATTGGCCAGAAACTCCCTTGGGAAACAATTACTTTCAAACAATAGGTGAGTTTGAAAGTTTGCACACATAATCATAAAAAAATCAATACTTAGAATGATTAATTTATTCATCATTTTTCTGCCTTATTATTTGGATTATCTTTTTCCTTCTCGAAAATTGAATGTCTGTTTTTCCCTTAATTCCCATAATGTTGTCCTCACCTTATAATCCATGATCCATCTTGTCTCTTTCCTGATTTGTTCTTATGCTTCTGTTACACTAATCTAGACTTACTACTCTAGTCATGGACCATTACCAGCTATATGAATAAAACCAATATTATAATCTCATGACATGCTCTGGATATGATGCATGTTTTTAGCAAGAAATTCAGTTAATTTATAGATATGCAATACTAAAAATGCATCCCTATATATATGACCCTGTCCTGTAAAATAATATTCCCCTTTTGATTACATATTGTTTTTCACTTGCTTCTATGATTCTTTGTTAATTTTTCTTTGGAAGATTCCCTGTTGGTTTTGGTAGTTACAATTCCAATGAAAACAAAAAGACTAGGGAAAGGAATATTGAATGCATTTATAGTTGCAAAAAATCGTAACAAAAATGGCAAGGACCACTAATCTTCATGATTAATGCAAGCTTATATCTCTCTTGAAACATGAGCAGGTGTTACCTTACTAGGAATCTGAAATAAATAAATCTTTATGATTTGTGTTTTAGTGCTGTGGTGGCACAGTGGTTAGAATGCAGAACTGCAGGCTACTTCTGATGACTGCTGCTGCTGCCTGCAATTTGGCAAATTGAATCTCACCAGGTTCAAGGTTGACTCAGCCTTCCATCCTTCCGAGGTCAGTAAAATGAGGACCCAGATTAAAGTGTTTGAAGTGGTATATAAGTCTAAGTGCTATTGCTATTTATATGACTGGACATGTATTGCTTTCCATTTTCCCCTGATTTTATGATTTTCTGTATAAGGGTCCACCTTATATACCGATTGCTGGGGCATTCAAAAAGTCAAGATGCTGTCTGCAATCACATGACATAAGACCAAGAAAGCCATCATTTAGATTTTTCTTGGGGACATTCTTGTTCGGTGCCATAGAATAATGGCTGAACATGACCCATCAAGTCCATATTGGGCTTTAATGAGCAGACAGATTGATTTTCTTCAAGAGGATCTGTGTCCAGCCTGGTTCTTCAGGTCTTCCATTGTTTCGCCCATTGTCACTATAATTGAGTCACCTCATTTCTGTTTTTCATATAACAAATTGACACTGAATAACACTTCCCATGCATAAAAAAAATGCTTTTGATTTTCCCTCCATTCTTCTCCACTAAAATTTTTATTATTGAATTGTTTGTGGCTATTTATTTTATTAAAAAGATGTTGAGACTCTGGAAATCATGCAGAGAAGAGCAACACAAATGATTAGAGGATTGGAGGCTAAAAAATATGAAGAACTGTAGCAGGAACTGGGCATGGCTACTCTAATAAAAAGAAGGATAAAGGGTAACATGATAGCAGTGTTCCAATATTTGAGGGGCTGCCACAAAGAAGAGGGAGTCAACCTATTGTCCAAAGCATTAGAAGGGAGGAAAAGAAGCAATGGGTGGAAACTAAACAAGGACAGAATCAACCTAGAATTAAGGAGAAACTTCCTCACATTAAGAACAATTAATCAATTGAACAGCTTGACTAGAACAGAATAGAATTCTATTCTAAAATAGAATAAGAGTTGGAAGAGACTTTGCAGGTCTTCTAGTCTAATCCCCTGCCTAGGCAGGAAACCCCTGACACTTCAGACAAATGGTTATCCAACATGTTTTTAAAAACTTCCAGTGTTGGAGCATTCACAACTTCTGGAGGCAAGTTGTTCCACCGATTAATTGTTCTAACTGTCAGGAAATTTCTCCTTAGTTCTAAGTTGCTTCTCTCCTTGATTAGTTTTCATCCATTGCTTCTTGTTCTGCCTTCAGGTGCTTTGGAGAATAGTTTTGACTCCGTCTTCTTTGTGGCAGCCCCTGAGATATTGGAACACTGTTATCATGTCTCCCCTAGTCCTTCTTTTTATTAGACTAGATTTACTCAGTTCCTGCAACCATTTTTCATATGTTTTGTCCTTGAGTCCCCTAATAATTTTTGTTGCTCTTCTCTGCACTCTTTCTAGAGTCTCAACATCTTTTTTACATCATGATGATGATGAATGTGAGGAATTCCCTCTTGTATTTGCAGAGAAAGAATTTCCAGAGAAAGAATTACGTT